CAGGGAATAAGATTCTAGGCTGGGCCCTGTGCTTTATTGCAACAGCTAGGGCCCCAGCACAGGGTGGGGATGTGTGCAGAACGAGCTTCCTGGTGCTCTAAGGAGGGAGGCATCTGGTACCCACTGCTTAGTACAGCACCAGCTGCGATTTCTTCAGAGATGCCCTTTCCTAAGTTCTATTCTTGTCTTCTGAGAATGTGTATCATGAATGGTTGCAAAATTTTGTTAAATCCATTATCTGCATTTATTGAAATGATCATATCATGCAGTTTTTCTCCTTTATTCAGTTTATATTGTGAATTGCCTTGATTAATTTTTAATGTTAACGCTAACCTTGTATTTATGGGAGAAACTCTACTGGGTCATAGTGTGTTGTCATTCTTATGTGTTGCTGAATTTGATTTGCTAATGTTCTGTTAAGGACGTTGTGTGTATGTTCATGAGGAAATCTGCTTTGTAATTTCTTGGTGTAATGTTTTTGACAGGTCCTGGACTTACATTCTGTTGCCTCGTAGTGTGAGTTGGGATCTGCTCCCTCTTCTCTTTTATGAAAGATTTTTGTGTCAGACTGATTTTGTATTTAGTTCATAAGTGTGTGGTCGAATTTACCAGTGAAATCCCCTGGGCTTGCGGTGTTCTTAATGGAGGGGTTTTGATAATGAATCTATTTGTTTGATAGATAAGGCTAACAATATTTTGTTTCATCTCATGTTAGTTTTGATAAGTCATATTTTTCAAGGAGTTTGTCTATCTTTTTCTCTTCTCTTCTCTTCTCTTCTCTTCTCTTCTCTTGTCGTCTTGTCTTGTCTTGTCTTCTCTTGTCGTCTTGTCTTGTCTTGTCTTGTCTTGTCTTGTCTTGTCTTCTCTTGTCTTCTCTTGTCTTGTCTTGTCTTGTCTTGTCTTCTCTTGTCTTCTCTTGTCTTCTCTTGTCTTGTCTTGTCTTCTCTTGTCTTCTCTTGTCTTCTCTTGTCTTCTCTTGTCTTCTCTTGTCTTCTCTTCGTCTCACTCTGTTGTCCGAGCTAGAGTGCAGTGGTGCGATGGTAGCACACGGCAACCTCAAACTCCTGGGCCCAAGCTGTCCTTGTTCAGCCTCCCGAGTAGCTGGGACTGCAGGTGTGCACCTGCGTGGTGCCTGGCTAGTTTTTAATTTTTTTTGTGGAGATGGAGTCTTGCTATGTTGCCCAGGCTGGTCTTGAACTCCTGGCCTCAGGCAATCCTCCTGCCTTGGCCTCCCAGAGTGCTGGGATCACAGGTGTGAGCTGCCCTGCCCGGCTCCATTTTATCTTTATTGTCTAATTTGTTGGCGTGAAGTTGTTTATAATATTCTCTTAATGTTTTATGTGTGTAGATCCTGTTCTGGTGCCCCTGCCTTCCTGATGTTGGTAATTTTTGTCGTCTCTCTTTTTTCTTGATTAATCTAGTTGAGGGATTTGTTAATTTCATGTAGCTTTCAGTTGAGTTAATTTTTCCAGTTGCTTTTCTCTCTCCTCGGTTTGTGGGTTTGTGCTGTTACCTCCTTCCACTCTTTTGAAAGGTTTGCTCTGCTCTATTGACTTCTCAGAGTCAAGCCAATTTTAGATCTTTTTTGAATATAGGTATTAAAAGTTATAAATTTTCCTCTAAAAACTGTTAAAACTTCATTTTACAAATTTTGTCAATGAATTCAAAATATTTTCTAATTTCCTTTGTAGTTTCTTCTTTGAACTGTGGGTTACTTAGGAGTGTGTTGTTTAATTTCCAAATATTTGGGATTTTCCTACATATCTTATTCTTTTTTTGTGAATTCAGAATTGTGTTTCTACCTATTGCAGGATGTTGGATGTTGAAATTCAGAGGCTTCCTGTGTGTTTATTTTTGTGCAGGCAGCTTTGCTGAGGGTTAATTATTCTGGTGACTCATCTGTGTGATGCTTTTGTGATGCTTTTGGGTTTTCTGTCTAGATCATCATGCCATTTGCAGACATTGTGTTTCTTTCCAGTCCTGATACCGTTCAGTACTTCGTGCCTTTGCTGTGCTGTGTTCATGGGAAACAGACCTCCCTGTGTTCCAGTGTCTCAGGAGATGAGTCTTCCTGGACACTGGAGAAAGGCTGGCGCCGGTACCTGGGCTGGGTGTGAGCCGGGCTCGCTAAAGACAGACAGATGGGCCCCCGAGCTCACCTAAGCCGCCGGTAATTACAAGTTCTTGCTAAGTAGCTGTGCCCTGCGTCATGTGATCATGCGCGGTGCTGGCTCCCTGCACCCGTGTCTTCTGGGAGGTGTTCTGTGCATCATAGGGGAGCGTGAGCTCCCGGCCCCTTCTCCCCTGTGGTCCTTTCCACCCTGGGGGCTCATTTTCTTGCATCTGTAGGAAAGTGATCCTCATTTTTGTGTTACTGTTTCATCTGTGAAAACACAGGGAAGCTGAATACTTATTTGGTGCACCTCAAGTCTCATTCGAGATGTCTGGTTTCGGCATCATCTCAGTGATGGGTTCCTGAGTGCCCCTACGAAAGCTGTGGGACTGGTGGCCTTTGTAAAGCTGTGAGTCACCTCTCTCCCAGCTAGGAGTGCAGCTGAGGGACCGCTGTGTGCTCTCAGAGAGTCCACGAGCAATTGTTGGTCTCTGAGTGCGGTCCACACTACAAGTGCTGTCCCCCTAGAGCAGGGCAAAACTTGAGCTGAGACTCAAAGGATCGTTAGGAAGGAGATGTTTGGGAGAGTCTTCAAAGAAGGGGGGGAGGTTTATGAGCAAAGGGGTGGGTGGAAATGTGCAGAGTACATACAGAGGCACCAGCGAGCCCGCTGTGGCTGGAGCTCGAGTCTGCGCCGACGGGGGGAGCCTGGGGCTGGGCAGGGAGTGCCAAGAAGGAGGTGCCGCGCGTGGACAGCACGGGATGGGGGCTGGAAGGGCAGTAGGTACTGGTCAGGGGATGTCAGAGTGTGGTGCTTAGAGACTGGAGAGCAAGGGGAGGCTGCTGGTGCACCAGCACGTAGGGTAGGCTGAGGCGGGCACCCTTGCAGCAGGGAAGTCACAGGGACTGCAGTTTTCTTTTCTTTTCTTTTCTTTTCTTTTCTTTTCTTTCTTTTCTCTTTTCTTTTCTTTCTTTTCTTCTTCTCTTCCCTTCCTTTCCTTTCCCTTTCCCTTTCCCTTCCCTTTCCCTTTCTCCCTTTCCTTCCTTTCCTTCCCTTCCCTTCCTTCCCTTCCCTTCCCTTCCCCTTCCCTTCCCTTCCTTTCTTCCTTTCCTTTCCTTCCTCCCCCCTTCCCCTTCCCCCTTCCCCCTTCCTTCCCTTCCGTTCCCCCTTCCCTTCCGTTCCCTTCCGTTCCCACTCTGTTGACCAGGCCAGAGTGCCGTGGTGTCAGCCTAGCTCACAGCAACCTCAGACTCCTGGGCTCAAGCGATCCTCCTGCCTCAGCCTCCCAAGTAGCTGGACTACAGGCATGCGCCACATGCCAGCTAATTTTTTTTTTTGAGACAGAGTTTCGCTTGTTGTCCAGGCTAGAGTGAGTGCGTGGCGTCAGCTAGCTCACAGCAACCTCAAACTCCTGGGCTCAAGCGATCCTCCTGCCTCAGCCTCCCGAGTAGCTGGGACTACAGGCATGTGCCACCATGCCCGGCTAATTTTTCTATATATATCAGTGGCAATTATATTCTTTCTATTTATAGTAGAGACGGGGTCTCACTCTTGCTCAGGCTGGTTTTGAACTCCTGACCTTGAGCAATCCGCCCGCCTCGGCCTCCCAAGAGCTAGGATTACAGGCGTGAGCCACAGCGCCCGGCCGCCCAGCTAATTTTTCCCATATATTTTTTAGTTGTCCAACTGATTTCTTTTTATTTTTTAGTGGAGACGGAGTCTCACTCTTGCTCAGGCTGGTCTCAAACTCTTGAGCTCATAACGATCCACCTGCTTCGGCCTCTGGGAGTGCTAGGATTACAGGCGTGAACCACCATGCCCGGCCGCCTGCTTGGTGCTTCTGTGTGTGCAGACTTCTAAGATAAATTGCATTAAAAATAGAGAATTTGAAGCACAAATACCAAGAAGAAACTGAATGTGGACTGGAAGCCCTGCGCCCAGTACGGGCGCTGTGCTGAGGAGCCTCCAGGGTGCCTTTGGTCCCTCGGTGCGCCGTGTGGCGTGAGGACATGGGGTGCTGGCGTCTGGCCTGGCGGGTGGTGAGATTCACTTGAAGCAGAAAACAAAGGGTTAAGGGGTGTGGACGTCTTTGTTTTCAAAGCCCAGGGAAGTCTCTAAGTGGGCAGTGTCTGTCCGGCTGCTGCACAGAACGTTAATTTGATTCCTGCGCAGAAGCCTGAGTTGCAGCATTTGAAGAGTGGAGGCAATGAGGACATGAAGGGACTGAACGTGAAGCGTGGCTCCGTAACGTGAGCCAGAGTCCGGTGGCGTCTCCAGTAGCGCCCTTCCGCGTGGACCAGGGCGCTGTGGGAGCCACAGGAAGCTCCAGTACGAGAGCCCTAGAGCAGCGGTCCCCAGCCTTTTTGGCACCAGGGACCAGTTTCATGGAAGACAGTTTTTGCTTGGACAAGGCTGGGGGAGGCAGAGCTCGGGTGGTGATGCGAGTGATGGGGGCAGCTGTAGGTACAGATGAAACCTGGCCCACTCGCCCCTCACCTCTTGCTGTGGGCCTTACCGCCCCAAGTTCCATGGAAGGCAGTTTTTCCACGGGTGGGGGGGGCAGTGGCGGAGCACTGTGGCCTGGTCTCTAACAGGCCGGCAACCAGTACTGGTCCTGGGGACGGGGACCACAGCTCTGTAGTATTCGTAGCAGGATCGCGGCCGTCGGAACGGTGGATTTTAAAAATGGATCTGTTCTTAGGTGAGCAGTCGTATGTGCAGGTGACATCGGAACGCACTGAAGGCGCTTCGGCACCTTGTCGACCTCAGGCTCCCCGTGAGGCTGGCCTGCGGGGAGAGCCTCTCCCCCCTCCCGTCTGCGGGCGCTGTGGCCAGCTCGGGTAGGTGCCCGGGTGGTTCTCACGTGACTCCTTTTCCTTTACGCAGAGAGTCAAGAAGGACGTGGACAAAGGCACGCCGCACTCTGACATGTTTCTCCTGAAGCCTGACGAGGGGAGAGAAGGTACTGGCGCTGTGACCCGGGACGCGCAGCTGTCTGCTTGCCTTGGGAGGGCGAGCCCTTTCTGGCACACGGGCAGAAGCGAAGCCCTCGCTGTCTCCCGTGGACGTGGGGCTGGAGGTGGCCCCGCAGCTGAGGGCCAGTCTGCCTCGCCCTGGCACGGCCGCTCCCAGACAAGGCTGTGCTGAGCCGCTGACGCTCTGCGCATCCTGAGCGTCCCGTCTGCAGACACGGTGGGCGGGCAGTGGGTGTTCAGACACGCGGCAGTGCTGGCCTTCCCGTTGTGGAAAGCTGTGAGTGCGGTGGGGTGCGTCCTTGCCCGCTGAGACACGCCCCAGAGGCAGCCCCCCTCGGAGTGTGCTGGTCCCCCACGGGTTGGGTCTCTGCAGCTTTCTGTGGGAAACGGTCGGAAGTCTTGAGCCTACCTGAGTCACCAGGTGCATCCGGCACTGTGGGTGACAAGGGTTCGCTGTGGGGGGGGGGGCGCCGAGGCATGGACCAGTGCTTGCTTAACAGAAGAATTTCGGAAATTCTTCCTAAGAATGGGGACAGCCTCCAAAACGGCCTTGCACCAGTGTGGTTTCATTTACTGAATTCAGAGGACTCCCAGGGTGCCTAGATGGCTAAAAGTCTTCAGCTAAGCTTGGACGTAAGACTCAGAGTTTTCTTATTGAAAAATAGGGTACCGATGGTTATTTCTTTGGGGCTTTGTAAAAGGATGACATGGACTTACTTATGGGGGAGCTCAGCGTGGCCCTGCTGGCCCAGGATGGGTCGGCCACCCTCACCACCTTCCATGCATGCACAGCCTGTGACACGTTCCATAATCCCGGGAAGGAACTGTAGGTGGCATTTCTCTGCAGTGGTTGCTTTAAAGACCCCCGGAAGTCGCAGAAGCCACATGTGTGTGTAGGGATGAGAGAGCGGGTGCTACTCTTCTGTCATTTCTTGACTGTTTAAAGAATTTTATTTGTTCTTGCCCAAGAGCAAGGAAAAGATAAGAGGACGTGGATCCTGGGTGGTTTGTCGTGGCCTTGGTGTCCGCGGTGCCGTGTGGAAACTAAGGGCCCCGACGCCAGGTCTGCTGTGTGGCCTGTGCCAAGTCCTTGACCTTCCAGGGGAGGAGGTGGCTATGCAGAGTGTCTCTACCTCTTTCTTGCTCACAGTGCTTCAGGCTCATGCCCAGAAGTGTTGTGTGCCTGTGTGCTTCTCGGGTGGCCTCTGCACACGCATGTGCAGGGCTGAGAGGGCAGACCTGCCCTGAGCAGGAGCCCAGGCTGACACAGCAGCAGGCGCGCACCTGCAAGTGTGGCCCAGGCCCGTGCGCATGACTCCTTGACCCCCAGTGAGATGACACGTGTTGTGGGCTGGCGCACACTCTTGTGTCCGCACAGCCGGGGGGTGGGCCGTGCCCTTTGTGCATGTGCGCTGACGTTCCATCCCCGCGGGCAGCCACACAGGTGGCCGCGGGTAGTGCACCGCTTCTGTCTCATCCCTGCCTTTAGCTGTAGCTTGGGATTGCCCCGTGGGCAGAGGTGTGTGGAGGGTACGTGGAAAACGTTATCTTAACCCAGACTGAATCTCAAGAAGGATTAGACTTGAGGGTGTGTAGCAGCGTTGGTTTGGATTTTCTGCCCATGGAGCAGGAGGAAGTGCTCGTGGTGTCTTTTACCTGCTTTCAGTCTTGTGTTTTTTCTTTTTTTTTTGGAGACAGAGTCTCACTTTGTTGCCTAGGCTAGAGTGAGTGCCGTGCCGTCAGTCTAGCTCACAGCAACCTCCAACTCCTGGGCTCAAGCGATCCTCCTGCCTCAGCCTCCCGAGTAGCTGGGACTACAGGCATGCACCACTATGCCCGGCTAATTTTTTCTATATATTTTTAGTTGTCCAATTAATTTCTTTCTATTTATAGTAGAGATGGGGTCTCGTTCTTGCTCAGGCTGGTCTCAAACTCCTGACCTTGAGTGATCCACCTACCTTGGCCTTCCAGAATGTTGCTAGGATTACAGGCGTGAGCCACCGAGCCCAGCCTGTCTTGTGTTTTTTCATTCCTTTTGTCGCCAGGGGGGTCTGGGGGGCCTCCGCTGTCCCTGGCCAGCTCTCAGGGCCTCTCCCTTGACAGGCAGGTGGGAGTGGTCTCGAATCAACCCAGCGGGAGTCAAGCCCACTCCAAGGTCTGGCTTTTCGGTGGCCATGGCGCCAAATCACCAGACGCTGCTCTTCGGGGGTGTCTGTGACGAGGAAGAGGAGGAGCGCCTGGAGGGTGACTTCTTCAACGACCTGTACTTCTACGATGCTGCCAGGAACCGCTGGTTTGCGGGACAGCTGAAGGTAGAGTGACTCTGAGGGGTCTGCACATGCTTGGGAGGGTGTCTAGTCTCTGCGTGTGCCCTGGCGTCCGGGGAGCCCTTGGTTTTGGTGCTGAAGCCTGACCTGGGTCAGTCACTGGCGGAGGTGAGATGCTCGCGACCTCCCCAGCCCTTGTGTCTGTGGGATTCGCGCTTGTCCCTGCTTCCCACCGCCTTCTTCCTTGTGCTGTGTGAGCCCAGCTACTGGCTGGGGACAGGCAGGGCAGTGGGTGACAGTCCCAGGAGTGGAACTCCCATCAGCTTTGGGGTCTACGTGACCCACCAGCCAGACCCAGAAGGCCCCACAGCACGTTTGGTACAGACACTGAGCTTCCATCGAAGCGTCTTGACTCCTTTAGGGAAAATCACTTACACATGAAGGTTTGTTTCTGGAATCACGGCCCTTTGTAGTTTTTTACTGTTGGAACGACTGGTTCCAGGCAAATGACCGTGCCAGGTTCTCCCCGTGGCTTCTCGGAGAGCCCGGAGCCCAGCAGATGGTCCCAGAACTCCTTTCTACTCTCAGAAACTACTGAGGACCCCGGAGAGCTCTCCTTTTTGGTTCAGAATGAAGCACAGTCTCAGAAAGAAGTAGGTCTTGGAAGTCTAGAAGTTGAGTCTGAATTTGGGGGGTTCTGGAGGTGGTCGGGAAATTTGAAAACGTGGCAAATGTCATCCCGTGGGACGGCAGCATTCTGTAGGATGGCAACGGAAGGGCCCGGACTTAGCCTGCGAGGCAGCCAGGCGCAGTCCCACAGCAGGCAGCCTGACCAGAGAGCTGCTCCCCAAGTGTGTGCTGCTGAAGGCTTCACTCTGGGCTCGGGGTTCATTATGCGCCATCTTGGACTGTGGACGCGGTGTGTCGTCCTTGTCGCTGGCAAAGGGTGGCAGGAGCCGTCCTGGCTGCTCCAGCCCCTCCGTGAGCGGCCCCCTGGGCGTGTGGGACTTTCCAGGCTAGCTCAAGCTGACAGGGCCGGCGCGGTGCTTCTGGGAGTCTGGTGGGCCTCGTCCATGTCCCAGTGGGGGAGACCGGGGGTGTGCTGCTTCCAGCCCCGCAGTGAACGCTGAGGCTGGTGGGAGACAGCCGTGTCCCTGCCTATCTGATGTGCTGCCCCCGGGGCGCCTGGCCCACCTTCCCTGTCACGCACCCCATGCCGGCCCTGCCCTCACAGAACCTGGCCTTGTGGACGTGGCAGGGCCGCCCCCTGCTCCTCTGCAGCTCGCTGCCCTCTGCCCCTCTTCTGCTAACAGGGACCCAAGACGGAGAAGAGACGGCGCCGGCGGGGCAAGAGGGCGGGGCCTGAAGGAGCCGGCGAGCAGGAGCAGGCGTGTGGGGGAGCCAGCACCCCGGCACCCCTGGAGGTGGTCACGGAGGTGGTAGCGGAGGACGGGACGGTGGTCACCATCAAGCAGATGGTCTGCGCCCCGAACGCGGCAGGACCACCCCAGCCCGAGGATGAAGACAGTCCTGAGGAAGCCGGCAGCCCTGCGGTCGAGCCGAGTCCACGCTCCAACGCCATGCTGGCCATGAAGCACGGGGTGCTCTACGTCTACGGGGGCATGTTCGAAGCAGGTGACCGCCAGGTCACCCTCAGTGACTTGTACTGCCTCGACCTCCACAAGATGGAGGAGTGGAAGGCTTTGGTGGAGATGGACCCAGGTGAGCCGGACGGGGTGCACACCCCTCTGAAGGGAGCGCGAGCCCCGATCTGTTGTGTTTCGGGTCATCTACGAGTCTCCCACATTGCCCACAGTCACCTGCAGCTGACGCACCTTGGCGTGGGTTGTGCACCCGCCTCCGTGGCCAGGTCGACACGGGGTGGGACCCGCCTATGGAGAGGGAGGCCCCCGGGCATGGCCATCCCATTCCGGGTGCTGACGGGAGCTGTTGTGTGTGGTGGCCGGGACACTGGCACGGCCCCCTCCCCTCTGTCCAGAGTGTCCTCCTCTGACCGTGGGCAGCCCGCCGTCCGCAGGCCGCTGAGTCCCAGCCCTGGCTCCCGCGTGCTCTCTGGGCCGTCTCTGTCTTTGCTCCTTGACTCTGTGGTCCCGTTTCCCCCAAGACTGCTGCTGGACTCAAGTCACTACTGAGGTTTCCAAGGATCTGAGACTAAAAGCAAAAGCCATGTATTTGGGGAAAGGTGTCAGACCACTGCTGCAGGATGTTTGCTGTTTTATGGGAACAGTGATCCTGGGTTGCCACGTGGGCCCCAGTGGGCCGCCCCTCGCTGGCGGGGAGAGGGGTGTGATTTCTGTTTGCCCACTTCAGGGTCTGTGCTCTCAAATCCAGGAAATGGTCTGTTCTCCTTGCTGGTCTGAGGGTGTTCGGGGCAGGAGAGGTAGACGCCCCCCCACAGTTCTCGAGTGAGGAAACAGTCCTCCAGGGAGCGGTGGCTGCCCTTGTGTGGTCGCCCTGGTGTGAGCGTGTGTGTTCTGCTTTTGAAGAAACGCAGGAGTGGCTGGAGGAGACGGACTCGGATGAGGACAGCGACCAGGCTGAGGGTGCGGAGGGTGGTGAGGAGGAGGAGGAAGAGGAAGAGGAGGAGGACAGCGCAGAGGATGGCAGCTCGGAGGACGGAGGTGAGGCCAGGCTCTCGGCGGGGCAGCCTGCTGTGTGGGGGCTGGGGGCTGGGATGTTCCCTGCCCGGGGCCACGCTTGTATCGGTAATGAAAGATTACGTTTTTGTTAGGTTTTTATCATAATTTGACTTTATCGAGGTGTGAGGAGACCTGGTGTCTGCAGCGTGTCTGGGCACGCGTTGATGTGGTTTTTCTGATGACATCCAGCGTTGTCCCTAACTGCCTGCCCAGGCGCTTCCTCCGCTGATGTGTTTCTCTCTCCTCCTCCCTCCTCCCGTGGGAAAGAGCCCCCGGCTGTGGCGCCCGGAGAGCGGTTTGCTGACTACCTGCCCAGGACCGAGCCGCACTGGGTGAAGCACGCCCGGGACAGCGTGGGGCCCGACGCGAAGGAGAAGCAGGTGCTGAGGGCGGCCCAGGCCATGGCGAGGACTTTCTTTGACAGTTCTGCTTAGATGCGGCGCTGGGCCGGAAGTCACGGCGAGTGCGGCGTCGCTGAATTCCCTCCACGTCTCTTTGTGCTGTTTAAAATAAAATGGGACTTGAAAGGAGCCCACGGCAAAGGTGTCCTCTGTGCAGCACAAGGTACCCCGCGCTCTGGCGAGGCCTTGGTCTGCCCTTCTTGGGGTCCCTGTGCCAGGGCAGGGCTTGAGGGAGAGCGCCCCAAGCAGGGGCAAAACCTCGGTCCCGAGAAACCCTCAGGACGGGAGTTTCTATTCCAGTAACGCTGGGATATGTCGTGCCTTGAGGGGTTTTCCTCCCATGAAACAAGAAGAAGGTTCTGGTTGGCCACACACCATCAAACGGAAGATCGGCCCTTTGCATCTAAACATTGTCAGAGCGCCACAGTCAGCCCACGCGTCCCTAGCCAGCTCTGAGCAGAGCGCCCGCTGGCCGGCCCCGGGCGGGAGGTGTCCCGGCGGGAGGGCCTGGGCGTGCGAGAGCGGCCCGGCTGCTCAGGGCACTGGCCTTTGTGGGAGGGGGCGGCGGAGCCGTCCTCGCCCCTTTACCCTTTGGCTTAGGGTTCGAGTTTGCAGATGACAGGAGGAGACTAAAGGGCGCGGACTCTTGCCGTCCCCACACGGCGTCCCCAGCCAGGGCCGTCTGGCTGTGGAGCGGCGGGTCGTCTCTGTGGCGGTGTGTGCTGCGCCAGCGTGCTGCCCACTGCCTGCGCCAGGTCAGTAGCAGGAGACCAGGTCTCATTTGCATAACTGCGGCCGACAGTTGGGCTTTGGATTCAAACCTGGGCGGTTTTTGCCCCGTTTATCTGAAATACCTTGAACAATGGGAACATAGGATTTTTAGTTTTCTGTAACCGGCTGGCACAGTCACCGTCATGACATTCTTATCCTGGGTGTCACCAGAGGCACGGGCATCCTTGCTCCTGGCCGGCAGGCCTTGGGCCGCGGCAGACTTGGTGGGGATGGGCAAGAGGCCCCTCCTCGGTCCTGCAGCCGCTGGGGCCAGCCCCTAGAAAACCCCAGCCACCCTGGCGATCATTTCGGGCACCCTGAGCAGTGGGCACGGGCCGAGCACCCCTGGGTGTAGCAGCAGCGCAGGAGGCCTTGGCAGGCAGTGCCAGCTCTGTCACCATGCCCTTTAGGCTTCTCTCAGGTTGGCTTGGAAGCAGGAGGGCTCTGGAGCAACCTCTGCTGCAGCTCACCCTCCTGAGGTGCAGGCAGCACCCTCAACATGGCGCTGGCGGTGCCCGCAGGGAGCAAGCCCCCGGGCAAGCCTGCCATGCCACCCGTGGTTTCCAGAGGTGGAACAGCCATCTGATCAGTGCAGGTGGCATGTGCCTTTGTGTCGGTGAGAGGGCATCGAACTCTGGTTTGAACGTCACATTTGTGCATTTTCTCTCGCATGCTGGGCAGTCAGGGTCCTTTTCTGATGTTCTGGCTGGAGCTGGTCGCAAGGTCCTTGGACAGGGCTGAGGAGGCAGTGAAGGCAGCCGCAGCCTTAGGCATCGCACGGAGGCCCCAGGACAGGCAGCCTGGCCAAGGCCCGCCCCGGCCCTGCCTGCTCCATCCTGCGTCTGGAGCACAGAGCGGGTTGTGTGGCCAGCAGTGTTCCTCCCGCTGTGTTTGGGGACAGTGCCTGGGAGAGCTGGTGGCTGCAGTGCAGGGGTCTGTCATCAGAGGCCATTTTTCTTTCAGAGGAACCTGTGACCAGGTGGGGTTTGAATCAGCCAAGTTGAAAGAGAAGTGACAGAATCCCTGAGGAGGAGATGTCCTGTGCATGTCGGTGTGGAGCAGGGGTCCTCAAACTGTGGCCCGCAGGCCACATGTGACCCGTCGGGTGTGCCTGTCCTGCTTAGCAGCTGACTCGTCCCGGTCCCACAGCGCGCATGTGTGGAATGTGCGCCGCACTCTCCAATGGCCCTCCAACAGTCTGAGGGACAGTGAACTGGCCTCGTTTGAAAAGTTTGAGGACCCCTGGTGTGGAGTGTCCTGCCGGGTGCTCGGGTGACTGCTGAGGGTCTGGCTCGTGTGAAAGGGCTGGTCGGAACCAACGAGTATTCGATGGACAGTCTCCTGCAAGGAGCTATCTCTGTGAGTGGCATGATTAAAACACCGGTGCGGGCTCACTGAGACACAGCGGCAGGGAGAGGCAGAGACACGGCCCGGGACAGTGCTGTCCCCAGGAGCAGCTCTGCTCTGCCCTGAGAGCTCGGCCCCTGGTTGGGGTGCTGTTTGCCGTTTGCCGAGAGGACGCACCCAGTGCCCAGAAAGCCGATGCGGGTTACAGGCGTGAGCCACCGCGCCCAGCCCAAGGTGACTTTTTCAGCCGCTTCATTGATAAGAAAAACCAGATCATGGTTGATGTTCCCTTTTCGTCAGCACGCAGGATGAGCCGTGTGCGCCAACAGTGCACACACAGCGGGAGAAACAGCCGGCAGAAGGAGACGAGGGCCAAGACCATCCCAGGTTGGGATTCACAAAAAGGCACCTACGCCAGGTCAGTGGTTTCTCGCCTCGCTCGCCGGAGCGACGAGGGCTGTGTTGGTTTCCACTTCCTGCGGCTCTGGGGCGGTGCTTCTGCAGAAATGGCGGGCGGTGCAGGGGAGCCGCGTACAGGCGGACGCGTCAGGTTAGCTCAGTGTCCCACAGAGCCAGGCAGCTGATGTGTCTGGTCACGTGGAAACTGCCAGCGTGTTGCCAGGCTGGGGTGCTGGCCACAGCTGCTCTGGTTGTGGCCGTGTGCAGGAGGGCGGGTCTCACCCAGGGCCCACGTGAAGACAGTGGAGGGCAGGTTCCCGGGCTAGCGGTGCAGGCAGGGCCGGCCCCCCACCTGACCCCCATCATCTTCCTTCAGCCTGACGCCAGCGTCTGGGAAACCGCCTGGGTAGCTGGCCCTCCTTGCTGGCCAGCGTCTGCCTTCGTGCAGGCTCAGGGTGGTCTGGGAGTGTCACTTGCTGAGGACGGGTTGTCTCTCCGGGGAGCAGCCTTGGAAGGGGAGGAGCCCCTTGGACTGCATGAGAGCTGTTGGTGGCCAAGATTGACCCCAGTGGAGAAGTTTGCTGCACGCACAGCCCCGCGGGAAGCCAGGGTGGGAGGGCTGCCCTGGCCTTAGGGGGACGGAGTTCTCGCGGCTGGCCTGGGGGTTGGGGGCAGCATAACTGGAGACCCACGTCCTCAGTGGTGCAGACAGTGGGCAGGACATCGGGTGACGGGCACACATGTGAGGACTGGTGTGCAGTGTGGCTTGGGCAGGTGGCCTGGCACACAGGAAGGACGTATTCGAACCAGGGAGGGGATGGGGGCAGGCGCGTGAATGAGGTGGGGGCAGGGGTCACTGCCACCGCCTGCCTGCCAGCCCCTGGCACCCCAGCATCGCAGAGCGAGCTCATGCCACACTCTGGCCTGTTACCCGAGGGGCTGCCCACGTCTCTGAGGCTCAGAACTCGCTGGAACAGAACCTGACTGCTCGTTAGATCTTGGGCACTTGGCCTTTGGGCTTCTCAAAGAAGCAAACTCCAAAACCAGTGCTCAACATGCAGACTAGCGCTTTGGAGAACATTCAGCCACCTTCTGAAGACGGCTGCCCTCCCATGGGGGCCTCGCCTGCTCCAAGCACAAGCCTCGCCCCGGCTGACCTGGCGCCTGGGTGGCCCAGCTGTCTGGGGGTGCCACCCCTCCGAGCGCCGTGGCCCCCGCCTTCTGCATCTGGTACATTCCATGCCTCACATCCTGGCATGGGAGTGAAACAAGGGCAACTGCACTTCTCTTGCTGCTTTTTAGGGCTGCGTTAGGGATACTTCTTGGCACTTTGGGGACAGATTGTCTTCTGTCTTGGTGCCCTGTCCCCTGAGCTGTGGATGGCCTGGCGAGAGCGCAAAGCTAACCAGACACGGGGTGACGCTGGAGCTTTAGCTGAGTCTGACCCTGCCCTCAGAGGCCACATGAAAATGCCTCCGTGGTGACGTCTGTCCGGCCTGCTGTGCCCACGCTGCCTGCTGATCGAACAGAAAAACAGTCACGTGGCACATTCAGCGTGGAAACAGACATCTGAAAGACTGCTCGGCACATTTTGTGAAGTTTCTGAGACCAAAGGCCAGGAGGAATGGGAAGGTGAGACTCGGGGAGAGGTGAAGGAGCTGGGCTGTCTAGCGGGAGGAGATTGGCCTTACCACGGAGTGTGAGCAGTATCTCAGCCACATCTGAAAATGGAATATGCAGCCGTCGCAGGAAGAATTTTGGGGAGAGGTCAGAGGTGTCGGCCGTGGTGCACTGAAGTGCGCACGCAGGAGAGCTGACACCCAGAGAGTGTGGCCCAAGCGGGGATCCTGCTGAGAGGATGAAAGCGTGGAAAACTTACGTTTCACTTTTCCCACTACCCCCACTTTAGGTGTGCGCGGCCTTGGGCGCTCTGTGGCGACCTTTAATAGTTAAGTGGGGTGGCTGCGTGGCTCGCTGAGCAGGGCCTGCGGGGAGGTGAAAGGGCACAGCACAGCGAGAGCCCGGCCCAGGGGCCTGCGGAAGCCCGTGGCCTCGTGTCGCGCAGGAATCTTGGGTTTAGAGTGCGTGGGGAAGGGCCCACTGTTCTGTCACGTGTTTCATGTGTCTTTGCTCGCGCCTGTACGGGGAAGAGCCTGTGGTTGTGCGGCATGGCCGGGCCAACTGGGAAAGCAAGCCCTGGCCCTGGTGCCTCTCCTCCCGCCCTGGAAGGACTCGGTCAACGTTTCTGCAGCTGCAGGGGGTGTTCCGTCGTCATCGTGTTGGTGGTTTTGGTTTATAGTTGCACGCTGGCTTGCCTGGTCTGTAGCTTTGTGAATCCTGCATACTGATTAGAATCCTAAAGAATGGATAAGCAGGCCGGGCTCGGTGGCTCACGCCTGTAATCCTAGCGCTCTGGGAGGCCGAGGCGGGAGGATTGTTTGAGCTCAGGAGTTCGACACCAGCCTGAGCAAAAGCGAGACCCCGTCTCTACTAAAAATAGAAAGAAATTAATTGGCCAACTAAAAATATATATGAAAAATGAGCCGGGCATGGTGCGCATGCCTGTAGTCCCGCTACTCGGAGGCTGAGGCAGGAGGATCGCTTGAGCCCAGGAGTTTGAGGTTGCTGTGGGCTAGGCTGATGCCACAGCACTCTAGTCCTGGCAACAGAGTGAGACTCTGTCTTAAAAAAAAAAAAAGAGGCCGGGCACGGTGGCTCACGCCTGTAATCCTAGCTCTCTCGGAGGCCGAGACGGGCGGATTGCTCAAGGTCAGGAGTTCGAAACCAGCCTGAGCAAGAGCAAGACCCCGTCTCTACTATAAATAGAAAGAAATTAATTGCCAACTAATATATATAGAAAAATTAGCCGGGCATGGTGGCGCATGCCTGTAGTCCCAGCTACTCGGGAGGCTGAGCAGGAGGATGCTTGGCCCAGGAGTTTGAGGTTGCTGTGAGCAGGCTGACGCCACGGCACTCACTCTAGCCTGGGCAACAAGTGAGACTGTCTCAAAAAAAAAAAGAAAGAAAAGAAAAAAAAGAATGGATAATGAGAAATTTTCAGGTGTCTGAAATTCCAAAAGCACACGTAAATCCAATGTGCAAAGATCCTCAAATTTGATAAATGACACAGGTTAACTGCAGGCACAGAGAGGTACACCTGACAGGTGTGAGTGTTGGTTTGCAAGAGGGGATGGCTGAGCCTGGGTGGTGACTGGGGCTACTTGCTTGCTCCCTGCTTCACTGTCCACGTCTGAAGCGTGGCAGCAGCTGCCAGGGCAGGAAGTGGTTCTTGTGAGGCTGCTCTGGGTGTTCACACTCGCCGCGCGCTCTGCACACTTTGAGCCAGCGCTCCTGCCACCCCCCACTCCCCGACCCACCTGTTGTCTCATCCAGTCAACGTGACGTGTCCACCAGGACTGCGTGGCTGGGAGGACTGACTGGCGCCCTTCAGGGAAGGCAAGGTGACCAGCGCCGCCGGCCTGCAGGGTCCCCTAAGGAGGCCTTCCCTTAATCACAGTTTGGAAACCAGTTAAAGGTTTGCTGTCTGGAGTCTCTCAGACACAGTGTACTTTCGTCTTGACCGAATCCGCTTGGATTCACTGAGAATATGGGGAAATGGCCTTGCCCTTGTGGGGGTGGGGTCAGTTTGGGGTGCAGGGTTGTGTTAGTGGCAGCAGACAGGTGCCCCCCAGGTATGGAACCACCAGTGATTTGCGTTTCTGTGCTGTTGCTTTTGTGCCTGTCTCACGGAGTTTGCGTGTGAGCACGTGACCAGTCTGTGTCATGCAGTTATGGGATGTACAGGAGAGGTCTCTGTGAGCTTTAAAGGAGTTGCAAAGAGAATTACAACACACATATCCCAGCACGGAAGATTCTCAGAGCTGCAAAGAGCAGGAATCTTTATTTGGTTCACGTCAGGTCTGCAGCAACCACTCGATATTAAAAAAGAGGAACGGAAAAGTAAGATGTACAAAAAGATGTCATATCCCTTAGAAAGCAACATTCAGAGATGTCCTGTGTGGCCCCCCGATCCTCCCTCCTCTCCTCCGCCCCCCCAGGCCGGACTGGGGGTGAACGTGTAACGGAAAACAGCAGAACTGAATTTAACTGGAACATGCTCTAATCTTTAGTTTATTTCTGGTTAAAAATATAGCAATCCAGTGCAGTGTAGTAAAGAAATCTGCTCGAAAGGCAGCAGAGGAACAGCTGAACATAAGCAAAGCAAGGCAGAGTCCACGGGACGGGATGAGGAGCCACGGGCAGCGCCCCCGGGCGCGAGCACAGGGTCCTGCGCAGGGGCGTGCCGAGACCCCCGACACGTCCATGCACACGGGGAGCCGGGGCCTTGAGCGCTCGGACACCCTGCAAACCTTGTTCTTTTGTGTGGGCGACAGAGCGACCCTGGTGAAGAAGGCAGAAACATAAGGAACCTGTTCTTGTTGGACTGAAACAAGTTACATTGTACATTTTTTGGGGGGAGGTATCGGATATGCTACAGATTCTCAAGACACATTCCGGTCCCGGGCCCAGACCCGCTCTGGAGTAGCACTGAGGCATCTGGAAGGAATATGCATATCTGTTAGGGGAGGTTGAGGCAGGCACGGTACAAAGATGTGAAAACCCCTGGAGGTCAGTAACAGCCCGAGGAGACGTCCTTCTCGGGCCCTTGCTGCCGGGACAGAGCCTGCGCGCCAAGTGCAAGGCCGACCGTCCATGGCAGGGGGGGGCCCCCCCGCAACCCGAGGCACAGCCCCTCGGCTTCCTCGCTCAGACGTGCCCCGTCGGATCAGAGTCGGCCCCCGGCTTGTCGGGGGGAGGGCGGCCGAGGGGGCCTGAGGAGTGGGCCGTGGGTGGGGGAAGGAAGGAGGACTTTGCTTAAGACGTGGTGTGGGGAGTCGGCGTCTCCAGGGAGGCGGGGGCAGTGCCGTGTCTGGGGGACGGGAGGCGGCACGTCCCTCCCTCAGGGGCGCAGCGCAGACCGCAGGCGGAAAGGCCCGGGCTACCGCCCCTCAAGGCAGGGCCTTCCACGTGCGCGTCCAGCTACGCCGCTCCCCCGTGCCGGGCACCACTGGGCGCGCCGCCGAGGGTCCTTCCTCTGGCGTCGCCTCCCCACGCACCCCAGGCGCGAAGGGTGATGACGATGATGGCAACACTCTTCCTGCCGGGATCCCTTCTCCTTCCACGTCGGCTGGAGGGTCTGCGTGCTGGCCTCCTTCTGCCATGCCACACAGCAGAGAGTTACACAAGCGAAGAATTTTGGCTAAAATCCAAAAAACATTACCCAGAAAAAAAGGCAAACTGTGAGTGATACCCAATCATGTTCTTCTGCGGAAAGACCTGGAAGTTGTCGGGCGGTCGGAGCTGCGAGCTTTCCCTTGTGGTGGTTTTGCTTCTGCGTCCCCCTTTGTACACCGTTGTTTTTGCTGTGGCGACAATCTCATCAGATGAAAAAGTTAATGAACAAAATGGCGACTCCGATGTTCAGCAGGATCACCATGACGACCAGGATGGGCGCCGAGCCCTGGAACGGGAGGAGAGGAACAGCGGTGAGCTGGAGCCTCGGCCCCACCTCCCACCCACGCTGCTCTCCGTGTCCGCCCCTCGGGGTCCGAAGCCAGGGAGGGCGGGTGCCCCACGTGCTTATGAGGCTGAAGGTGCTGCTGGTCTTGGGAGGCGCTGTGGCCCCACAAACCGTGGCACCGGTGCCCCTGGGAAGAAAGCCCTGGCCCCGCTACCTGAGCGTCCCACCCGCTGCTGTGCTTTGCCAGGCAGCAGATGCCCCGGCGCTGCAGAACTGAGACTTCAGACCGTTGTGACGGGGAGTCTGGGAGAGCCCAGGTGGCTGCCACGGCCGGCATCAGATGTGGCCCTTAAACACGCCTCCCTCGAAAAAGCACCTGCCCTGGACAGCTCTGTGCTAACCGTGAGCTGCCTCTGCCTCCACCTACCATCCCCGAGAGCTGCCGCAGCAGCCTTGAAGGGGGAGTGCCTTCCGTGTCGGCCTGGCTGGAACCCAGGCGCCAGGGCCCTGCTTCAGCGGCTCAGCTTGGGCATGGAGCCCTGTGAGCCCGAGCTTGCTGGGTAGGGCACCAGCACCTGTCCCTTCGGCGGGAGGAGGGGCAGCATGGTTCCTCTGGGTGCCAGACGTGTCCTGGCCCCTCCCCAACACGTCCGCTTCCCACAGCCGACTGGAAAGTACACGCAGGACGGACGTGACCCCCAATCTGCCTGGCCCTGGTGCTCCCGCCTCTTCCTGCCCTATCCCAGTGCTGCAGCCTGGTGTCAGTGCACTCCTGTAAGTTCCCAAACTCGGCCCCTGAATGGTCAAATTTCAGACATGACTGGGGGTAGAGGCTGGTTTTCCTAGACTAAGCGAGTCCTGTTTAGACTTATGGTAAAAAGCCACTGAGGGGACCCTAAAACTGCCTCTCCTACCACAGTGGCATCATCTCGCTCCCTGGAGCTCCCAGCCGGCTGCTTGTCCCTCAGTGAGCCTGGAGAACAGTCTGACCAGCATTGCTACATGAGTCACCACAGACCAGCAGCTCCACGCCTGGCCACGTGTGCACCCTCACATCAATGTTCACGATAGCCGAGAAGTGGAAACAACCCAAGGTCCAACCACAGATAGACAAACAGATGTGGTCTGCCCACACATGGATCACTCAGGCGTGGAAGGAACGAAGCTCTGACAGGCTACAGCGTGGCCGGACCTCGGGAAGATGAAGGCAGACCCAGAAGGCCACGTGTTGCGGGATTCTGTTCGTAGGAACGTACAGAAACCACAGATCCACGGACAGTGGATTGGTAGCTGCTTAAGGGCTATGAGGCCTCTCCCAAGGTAATAGGACTGTTCTAGAGTTAATGGAGAGAGTTGCACAACTGAGTACACTGAAGGCCACTGAACTGTGTGCTTCATCGAGGTAGCTTGTGTAAGAATTATACCTCAATAAAGCTGTCACCTAAAAAGAGGGGGCGCTCAGAATGAATGGATTCAGGTGTCAGGTCAGCGGCAGAGTAGCACCTGGGAGTGAGGATCCCACCGACTGGAAGGGAGGGGGCTTTCCAGAGGTCCTCACTGGGGACGCGGCACCACCAGTCGCAATCCCTGCTGGGGCGCCTGCACACACCCACCAGGGCCGTGGGCCTGACCATCCGCCCATCTGCAGGTCCTCCTCCCAGGCTGTGTCCCAGCTGAGTGACACCCCCAAGGGTTGTTCAGGGCCCAATCCCAGCTCCACGGGGTGTTCTCAAACAGGTCCTATACTTGAGCCCTCAACGCCCTCTCCCTGGGGGCCTGCAGAGCCCAGGGTCCCCGGCGGTGCCACCTCCCTCTCCTGTGCAGTGCTGGAGCCCCCGCCCCGCCGCTCTCTGCCAGGACTGACCCTGTGCTGCTCACACAGGGCCTTGGGCACGAGCCATTAGCGTGGCCTCAGTCCCACCCTGCCCTGGCTTCCTCAGGTGACCACACAGTGACAAACACTCAGGCACTCGCCCCACACCCAGCTTGGGCCAGCGGCTTCACGTTTGGACTGAACGTGGTGACCAGCACAGTGAAAGGCACAGGCTCACTGCGACTTGCAGTTTCTCTGCCTGTCCCTGTGCCCCATGCCCCTCCAGCCCGGGCTGGCTCTGCACTGAGTGCAGGGCGCCCCTGCTGCCTGCGCAGCGTGCATCCTGGCCCAGCGGGTCCCTGGAGATACTTTAAAAAAGAAAAAAGCAAAGCCTGCTCAACAGAAGGCACAGGGAGTTTTGAACTGTCCCCCCGGGACTCAGCTGAGGGAGGAGGGTCCCCAGACAGCCCCTGCAGCCCCACTGGTGTCTGCCTGTGCCCGGCCGGGCAGTGCTCATGCTCTGCAGAGGCACGAGGACACAGCCAGTGTGACCTGGGGCTTCCACACCCCCCACTGCAGTGACCCCTCCTCAGGTCACACGCGTCATTTCACCAGAGGGGAAACCAAGGCCTGAGAACCACTGGGGACCTTGCTGGGCCACAGAGTTCGCTTACGGGCAGCACCGGAGAGAGAACCCAGGTGTGTGCCTACCTGAGGGGACCTCACCGGGCCCTCTGGCTGTCCTGCTCAGTCACCCCTGCGCCTTCACAGCGGGACTCTTGTCCCCATGTGCTCAGGGGAGAGGTGGATGACAGCAGGACCCCAGCTCAGCAGCACGAAGCATGTGGGGGCTCCCGCCCTGACCCTGCTGTGACCTGCCGTCCATGCCCAGCACCTCACTGGCCAGGGAGTGGGGAGTGTCACAGGCCAGAGGACGGCTCCCTGACCCCACGGCGGCCCAGGGCAGACTGGGGACTGCCCCACGCCACTGTCGCCCAAGGTAAGCACTGGGGCAACCGGCTCCCGTAGGTGGTTCTGGGCAGTGCCCCGGGGACCCTGCCTGGCCCTCGCTATAAGCCCAGGCCCCGGGCAACCCCCTGGCAGGCACTAGAGTGCACCCTTCCGGCCACCTCCCCAAAGGTGGCTTCTGCTCAGGGTGGGGCTGGAGGTGGTGCTGGGGTGGGAGGAGGGCGCCCCCCCAGGCAGGGACAGGCCCCCAGCGCAGCCCCCTGGTTCTCCTGCCGCCGCTGCACACCCAGGGCTGGCATCTACCCCAGGGAGCTGCGTCTGAAGCAGCACCCAGAGCGCCAGCGCGTTGAGCAGGCTAAATATAGAGCCCGTCCCGCATCTCCCACCCTGCCCATCGCGGCTGTTCCTAAAATAACCCCGCACGCGCACGGCGCTGGGATGGGGAGGATGCAGTTGTAAGCGAGAGCTGGCGTTCTGGTCCCGGCAGGAGCACGGTGGGGTGGCAGGGGGTGGGGTGCTCCCTGTGGGCGAGCATTTGGGGGAGGGGAGGCATTTTAGGAACCAGCAACGCAGACGCCCGTGCGCACAGTGCTTCACGCAGAGGCAGGAACGGGCCGTCCAAGGGGCACGAAGCCGCCCTGGGGTGGGGCAGACTGGAGGAGGACACCCCAGCTCCCCTGGGGGGGGTCACAGAGGGAGGGAGGACACCGACCCCCCGTGCCAGGCATCAGTGCGGAACCCCAACACAGGTCCCAGCAGACCAGGCCTCCGCGCTGAGCCCTGCTCGGGCCTCGGCACCCTCAGCATCTCTGTTTAGAGCTGAAGCCCAGGCACCTGCCGCCCTTCCCCGAGTGAGCAGGGCATCCTGCGCATAAGGGTAGAAGCCCTGGGGTGAAAGGTCAGTCCCAGGAGGCCCCCTCTGGGTGCAGCAGCCCCATGGCAAGGCCCCGGGCCCCTCAGGCGCGCGCTGGGTCTGGCCCAGGGGGTGCAGTTCTTTCCTCCAAACCCGCACGGGGAGGAGTGAATTTAAGGTGGGAGGTGTCTGGGTGAGGCCGAGTGTCTCACTTGGGTCGAGAGTGAGCGAGCCCCAACACCGCCCACCAGGGCATGATGAGCCGAGGTTGCGGCCCCCACCCGAGCTGTCTGCTCCCGGTCCTCTGTGCTCCTCCCCAGGACACTCCAAAGCAGTGACCTCCCAGGCTGCTGCCTAGCACAGGGCGCCCTGGGTGTGCGGCTGCAGCAGGCTGGGGACTGAGGTGGGGGTGGGGGTCCCTGCTGCCCGGCTCCTTCGTGGGAGCTTCCGGAACCATCCGGCTGTTCCCTGAGAGGACGGAGCCTGGGTGCAGCCTCCACTTCTGGGGAGAGGCACGGGCGGCCCGGTCAGCGATCAGCAAGGAGGCGCAGAGACAGGACCCTGGGGCGCTGGGAGGCGCAGAGACAGGACCCTGGGGCCCATGCAGCCCGCCAGCTGCCCACTCACCGTGCTGGCCTTGAGCTCGTCCCCGGTCTCCTCGTCCGACTCCAGGGCCACCGGCAGGGACTTGCGGGGCGGGGAGAAGGTGAGGTCCCAGCGCAGCAGCCGGGGCTCGGCCCTGCCGCCCAGCCGCAGGCTCTCCAGCTTCTGCACCGTGGGCTCCGCGGAGGGGGCCGGCCTGAAGTTCTCCTTGTTCTGGGCCTTCGACCTCAGTCTCTGCACCCCGAAGCCCCGGTCCTCGGTGCGGTGGTCCTCCCCCGCGCCCCGGCCGGCGCCCCCCTTGCCGTAGCGTCTTTTCTGGGGGTGCGCGTCCTGCGCGTAGGCGTCCATCCTGCGCAGCGGCTGCATCTCCATCGTGTAGTTGCTGTGCTTCTCCTCGCCCAGCTGCAGCAGCTTGGCGCTCCCGGGGCTGTGGCCGCCGGCCCGGTGCGGGGACGTCCAGGAGAACAGGGGCGAGGACTCCGTCCGCCGCTCCCGGGGCTTGGGGTTCCCGGGCTGCTTGTGGCCCGAGCCCCGGGAGTGGAAGTCATCCGCGGGCTGGCCGCTGCGCAGGGCGCCGCTGCGGACGCCCCTGGGGCCCGCGGGCTTCTCCTCGCCCCAGCTGTTGCGGGCGTGGTCCCCGCCCCGGGCCTCCAGAAGCATCAGGATGTCCCCGCCGCGCTCCTCGTCCACAGACACCTGCCGGGAGAAGTGGGCCACCTTGTTCCTGGAGGTGGCGGGGGCCGGCGGCGGCGTGGCCGCGGGGCTGGTGGGGAAGCTCTGCAGGGGGCTGTCGTCGGGGGTCAGGTCGGAAGGGGTGGTGCCTTTGCGGTACAGCTCAGGGCTCTCCTGCTGCAGGGGCGTCCCCGTGGAGAGCACCTCGATGTCCTCGCAGGAGAGCTGATGCTTCGGTCTCTGGTACTCCAGCCCTTTGCGAAGGAAGAGACAGGACAGAGCGTGGGGTTACCGGAACGTTCTGCGGGTCACGCCAGACCAGGGCGACAGGCAGGCCTGGGCATCGCGGCGCCCTCAAGCGGGGCCGGTGCCAGCGGCTCCCAAAGCCCGTCTGGGGGACCCCGGCCCCTCCCCACGGACACTGAGGGTCCTGGCCGTGGTCCCAGGCTGCAGGGACCTCGCAGGTTAGTGAGCGAGGACACTGGCCCGGCCTCTCCGTGTGGCCTCGGGCCCCTCCCGAGGATGAGAGGAAGCATCTCGCACCAGCTGACCTTCGGGGTCCTGGAGCCAGGGCCATCCCCCGCCCGGGAGACCGTGTCTTGGTGGTGGGGCAGCCATGGAGGAACAGCCTGGCCAGTGCAGGGCCGGCCAGGAGTGAGGCTGCCCCGCCCGCCTCGGAGTCCCGGCCCTGGGGCTGGGCTCCCCCTGCAGGGCCCAGCTCTGCAGCCAGCAGGGCACGTCCCTGTCTGGAGGTGGTCCCAGTGGCCCCTGACCCTGAGGCCTGGATAGGGAGGGGTGGCAGAGTGGGACCAGCTACTGAGACATCTCTGGGCTCCACGAGCCTCCTGCAAGAGGGAGGGAGACCCAAAGCGACACCTGAGATCATAATCCCTGCCAGCAGGGGCAGCGGGTGCTGGGCTGACAAATGGAAGAACAGGGCACTTCCTGTCCCTTCATAGCAACATAGTCACCTCAAAGTGCAGTCCTCACTCAGCAGCAGAACATCAGAACCCCCAAACCCCTGCACCCCCATCCCACCCAAGCCAAATGCCACAGACGTCCCTGGGCGCTTGGTCGCCTTCTTCCTGAGGACGGAGGTCTCGGGGCCCTGCCCAGGGGCTGCTGCCTCCTGGTAACAGCCGGGACAGCGGAGCCACTGTCCTCCAGGAGTTTCTAACACCTGCCCACCCTCCTACCCTGGGCCTCCGGGCGGGTGCGGGTTGGGGAGACACAGCTCCCTGCACATGGCTGGAAACCAGACAGGCTGGCACGGGCCTCCAAGACGCCCACCGCTCAGATCCGAAGCACACCGTCACTCCCTGCTCCCTCTGGTGGCCTTAAGGTGCAGCCTTGAGCAGAACACGGCTGGAGCCTGGGGTGGGGTAACTCTGCCCCGAGTCTGCGTCCCTCTGTCCTGTGGGGGCGGGGGCCAGGCTGGTGCTCTGTGGTCACGCCCCAGATGCAGATCCAGGCTGTCGTGGGTCCCCCCTTCACAGAGGGGAGAGGCCAGGAAGGTGCACTCGAGACCACGTGAGACCCACACACCCAGGCCTATCACGCCATACCTGCCTCCTGGCCCCGACTCCAGGCCCTGCGGGGGTCCCCGGCAACCCTTCCACATGCTGCAGCCCTGGCACCAGGCCCGGCTGGCCCAGCAGCCCCACGGCCTGGAGGGAGCTGGGGCCTCTTGCTGGTTCCCAAGACCCAGGCCAGCGGGGAGGGGCTCTCGGCGAGGCGAGTTCTGGGAGCATCACCGTGAGGGCGCAGGGCAGAGCGAGGGCGCGCACAGCTCAATCCAGCGCCTCCGTCCCGTCAGTGTCCTGGGTCCACGGCCACTCGGGTCTCCTGGGCTCCGAGGGGTGGGGGCGGCAGCACAAGTGACCGGGTGCTGGACGCTGCCCCAGCAGGGTGGGGCAGACGCCAGGCTCTGTCCTGGTCCCACCATCAAAGCCACGTGGCCGCAGGCAGAGTCTCGACCAAGCTGAGCTCCTGGGCGGGGGTTGCAGCCGGCAGCAGTGGGCCAAGACGCCGGAGGCGGGCAGCTCACCCCCAGCTGAAGCACTTCCGTGGTTTGCCATTCGAGGCGGGTGTGGCACGAGCCTCAGAGCTGGGCCTCGTTTTAAATCTCAATTCTACGTTCCATCCGCAGCCGGAGGCTCGGTTTTGTTGCCTTGTCAGGAGGGGACACCGGCTCCACGAGGACCAAGTGAGACAGAGGGTGCCTGGCCCGCCCCAACGACGGTCTGGTCGAGACGTCCCCACAGTCCCTGGTCTGGGAACGCTGGTCTTTATAACACTCTCCAGGTGGAGACAGGAAAGGCCCCAGATGTCGGGAAGACAAGCCGCAGAACGCGTCTCACGCCACCGCCGAGCTGACAAACGCTCGACCAGGCTCTCTCTGCAGTGGCCGGGCCACAGGCAGTGTCAGCCACGGGAGCCAGCGATGCTCGGAGTGAACCGGGTCCAGGGATGGACAGGCTGGGACGAGGGGGCAGGAACGCAGCCCTGGACGGACATTCCCCGACGCCCGAGTCTCCGCCCTGGGTTCCAGGGCTGAAGCAATGAAGCACCACACGCTGGGGGCTTCCCACACAACCAGGGCCAGCGCAGCTGAGATCCGGGTGTCAGCGGGGCTGGGCCCCTGGCTTGTGGCCTTGTCACTGGCCTCTGTCTTCTCGTTGAATTCAGGGCTCAGCCTCATCCAAGAGGGTCTCATGTCGAGGTGTGTACCTTACCCACACCTGCACAGACTCTCTTCCAAACGGGGTCACATTCCAGCGTCCTGTGGACACACTTGCTTCTCCTGGGCCACCACTCAGCACGGTAGGGAGCCTTAGATATCCTCTTGCCCCCTTCCTTTACAGATGGGGAAACTGAGACGGGCCCCAGGCAATGGAATCAGTTGGTGGCATGCAGGGCTGAGCCTGTGTGACCCTGGGAGCAGCATGTCACGTCCTGTTTTGTCCCCACTTGCATTCTGCAAGCCCAGCCAGGGCAGGTGAGATGTAGGTTAGTCGAGATTGAGTAAGACTCAGGACTCGGTCCCGCAGTCACACGCGGCTACTGGCCGCCATGCTGGACTGAGCCGAGAAAGGTAGGTCCCTCATCACCGAAGGCTCCAGAACACCTCTAGAGGAACGTGGGGAGACAGCATGGGCTGAGCAGGTGGGTGCCGACAGCGAGTGACAGTGGCCACCCGTGTGCACACAGGGACACGCAGCTACAGGAACGTGGGGGGAGGCACCGACACTCATGTGCATCCCAACACGCGTGTGCCAAGACCCAGCACAGACACGTACCTTCGCCAGAGAGAAACAGACACGAGGCCAGGTGGCGGCTTCCAGGCAGGCTCCGCCCGAGCCCATCCCCACCCCCGCCCGGACGCCAGCGCGGCCGCCGCTGCGGGACTCACCGTTTTCCCGGTGCTGGAAGGAAGGCGAGAACTCTTTGGCAGTGATCCTGGCGATCCGCGCCTCCTCCTGCGCTTTCTGAGCCGCCGTGAGGGCCGCCTCGGCCTTGGCCCGCGAGTGCGAGGTCCTGCGGGAGACGGGGAGGAGGTGAGGGGATGGCCACGAGGGGGGCTGGGGGCCCACGCCGGCCCCCACGCAGGGCGGGCTGGGACGGGGACCTGCCCCCGCGCCTGTCCCCGACCTCTGGACTCTCCGTTCATTCACCGATCTGACCTCACCGGGTCCGGCCAGTGCGACAGGCTCAGAGTGTGTTTGTCCTTGTTACCAAGAAACGACCCACACGGGTGCCCAGGGAGCCACACCAGATGACGCCAGCCCCAGGGTGGACAGGGTGACGGGGCCGCCACCTGCGTCTGTGCTTCAGGATGGCCGCCCCAGCCACATGGGCTGGGACCCGGGTCTGGGCGGTTCCCTGCCCCGGCAGACACGATACCGACGTCCACGGGTGGAACAAGGGCGCGTGGCCCCTGCTGCCGTGCGCGTGCCTGTCCCAGCGAGTCCCGAGAGAGCCCCGCCTCCCTCCATAGAGCAAGGGCCTGGCGGCGCCCGGCAGAACAGCACCAGAACTCTGTCCTCCCCTCTGCCTGTGCCCGCGTTCCTTCCTACCCGGCGTTTGGGCTCCAGGGGCCCTGCCGGTGGCTGTGGGCGCCGCTGCCCCAACACGGGAAACCGAGGCACAGTGACCAATGCCCCGAGACAGAGGGCGGACTCTCCCTCAGAGGTCTCCTGCTCAAGGTCCCGGGACCCGTCTGTCACCGTAACAAAACGCCCACCGCGCTGGTGGCCCATCCGGTTCCAGAGGCTGCAAGTCCAAGACCCAGGCACCGGCAGATCTGGAGTGTGGTCTGCAGATGGCGCCGTGGAGAAGGGGCAGGTGGCTCCCCAGGGCCCCATTGCACGGACGCTAGTGTCCCCCCCCCCACCGTCCCGGTAGGACGCGGGCACCCAGCCTCCCACGCTGCAGCCTGGGCGCCCCGCGATGCCCATTGCTCAAAGCCTGCGGGCTAGGCCTGGACACCCCACACTTCCCAGGAAGGACGGGGTTTTCTCTCCCCACAATCCCGCCCTGCTCACTGGGAACGCTTCTGCTAGAAGGCCACAGCTCTGACTTTTACACGGACACGGTGACACGTGCCGTAGCCACAGACGCGCGTCAGGAAAGGGAGGACGCGTCAAGGTCTCCAGGTCTCCTCCCGCGCTCGCTGCCCCAGCGCTCCTGCGCCTCACCCGCCGCGGCGCCCGGCAGCAGGCCCCGCCCGGCCACCCGGGAGAACACGCACGGAACCCGGCACCGCGGGACTCCTCTCCCTCCCCTGGCTCCACGTTCTGGGAGCTGAGAAAAGACGACTGGCACAGCTGCAACCCCGAGTCGCACGGGAGCACGCGCACCACACCTTCTAGAAGATTCCTCAGGAACCCGCTGCTTGTATTCTGCATGACACACCAGGGGCAGGGGCGCCCTGGAGACAGACCCATTAATAAAGCACCAGTCAACGCTCGACCTGCTATCGGCAAAAAATTAATTGACAAAAAGACACCTGCACTTGAATGTTTACAGCAGCACAGTTCACAGTCGCAAAGCTGTGGAAACAACCCAAGTGCCCATCAATTCATGAGTGGATTAATAAAATGTGGCATATGGATACCATGGGGCACTACTCAACTTTAAGAAACAGTGGTGCAACAGCACCTCTTATATATTCCTGGCTAGAGCTGGAACCCATTCTACTAAGTATCCCAAGAATGGACAAACCAGCACCACATGTACTCACCAGCCAACTGGTAGTAACGGATCAACACCTAAGTGGACATAAACAAGTAACATTTATCGGGTGTCGGGAGGGTGGGAGGAAGGGAGAGGATGGGTATATACAACCACAAGAGTAGGATGTGCAACATGTGGGGGATGGACACGCTTGAAGCTCTGACTCAAGGGGGTAGGGGGACATGGGCCATATATGTAACCTTAACACTTGTACCCCCGTAACGCTAAAATAAAATTAAAAAATCAATTGACAAGTCATCGCCCAGGCCTCGGGCTGGTCCCAGCCCCGGAGCAGGTCTCTCCCTCGAGTCCCAGCCTGGCGGGCCCTGCACGTCTCGGCCGGGAGTTTACGGGAAAAGCATGTGGGTTTTCCTGTCCCCGGCCCCGGCTGGTGTCTGGTCAGAGGCGGGAGGTGCCACGGGAGGCGTCAGCGGCACCACGACAGCCAAGATGAAAGAACCGCGTCTGCCGGCCCAGGCGGAGCCGCGCCCATCTGACCAGCATCCCGGGACCACCGAGCAGGAGAGGGCAACGACCTCGGGGGTCGTCTGCTGCACGGGGCCCATCACACCGCGCCAGCTCCCCCTGCTGCAGAAGCCCCGGGGCCACGTGGGAAGCCCCCTCCCTCCCAGCGCCCAAAGGAAAGGCCACGGCCACTCGTCCCACGCCCTGCTCGGCCTCTGTGCCCGGGCGGCGGCATCGCCCAGACCTGCCCAGCGTGGACACCAGAGCCCCGTCCTGCGCGGGTCCGTCCAGGGGGCCCCCAAACTCCACTCAAGTCCTGTCCCTGGTCCCCCCAACTCCCGAGCAGAGTGCACGGCTCTCGTCAGCTTCCGTGGGGACAGTCGATGCCCCAAACGTAAGACGCACCAGTCCGAACGCAGCTGGCCCCGGACGGAGACGGGAGCTCGGCCGGACGGCGCCGCCGGACCCCGCCGCAGTGCACAGGACAGCGCATCCCCAGTCCCTGCCCCAGAGCCAGCCTGGACGCGAGGCCGAGCGGGCTCCCAGCTCCCGAACGCCGAGGCAAGAAGGGGACGTCAGCTGCCCCGGTGACGCCTCCCGCGGCTGTCGTCGCGGCGTGCCCCTGGCTCTCCCGTGATGGGCGACTGTTCACGACCGCATCCCTGCCTCAAGCCCCGGGCAAGGACGGGGCCTCGCACCGCCCGGACCCCAGCCATGCCGCGCACGGACGCAGGCGCCAGGCAGCGAGCGGGAGACCCCCCCAGGGGCCACTGTTTGGTTCCCACATCTCTGCTTTGTAAAAATACCACCAGCATCAACTCACCAACATCACGCGTGTGTTTACATATGCACGTTCACACGTATATAAAAAGAACGCGCTGTGCCAGCCCTAAAATAAAGCGAGTCAGGACAAGTGCGTGGAAGAGTAGAGCCCCCCCAACCCCCAAGCATGGCGTGAAGGTTCGTTGTGGACGAGACTCTCGGGCCTGGCCGGGGGCCGGGACTCCGATGGGCGAGGGTCCCGGCCGGCCGCCTGCCGCCCGCACCTGCGGCACCTGGCACCGAGGCACGGGGTGGGGAGGGTGTCCGAGCCCTCGGGGGACGGTCCCGTGCCCGACGCCCACTCGCCAGGGGCCCCGCCACGTTGCTTCGCCAACATGGTCTTGCAGACATGTGGCATGCTCTCGCCGGCTGGGCCCTGGGCTCGGGGGTCCCACGACCACCAGCTCAGCGACCCAGAGGGGTGAGAAAATCCCCCGCACCTCGGCTGCTGCTGACAGCAGGCGGCCTGGGCCCCCCAGCGGGATTCACGAGCACCCCCCGACCTCCACCCTGCCGGCCGTCGGGCTGACGCAGGGGCGGGTGGGGCAGGACGGCTCCACTCAGAGCACCCTCACAGGATGGACTGGTGTCCCCCAAAACAGCGTCCGTCCAGAACCCGGGGACGTGACTGTATTTGGAAATAGGGTCTTTGCAGGACAGGACGACCCACACGGCCTGACCCGCCCCCGCCTGACGCCACAGGTCCCGGGCAGGTGAGAGCCGCACTGCTCACGCCCAGGTGAGCGGCTGCCGCAGGGACCCCACTTTGAGAACCGCTGTGCTCAAGGCGGAAACACCAGGGTCCTGTTCCCTGGCCACAGCCCGTCCTGACCACCCCCTCTGCTGGCTCACTCGCAGCCCCGTCCCCTCCCAGTGCCCCCACCCCCAGTGCCCCACGGCTCTCCCTGCCTGCCGGGAGTACGCCGGCCGCGTATTCCTGCCGCAGAGAACCCTCCCGCCCAGAGCGTGACTTTACACACAGCTGACAGCTCCCTGCCTGCCCTGCAGCGGGGTCCTCGATGACGGGTCCACCAGACACAGGACCCAGATCCGAGGTCCTCATGACACGCAGCTGCCGGCACCAGGCCCCCCCCACAGCCCAGAGTGCAGCCCAGAGCCCCGTCCAGCCCAGGGCATGTAGGACTCGGGGGCTGGGGCTGGCCTGGATGTCATCAAAGAGGAGCCTTGTGCGGGGTGGACAGAGCACATGGGGGGGTGAAGCAGCAGGCACCTGCGGGGCAGCTACAGCCCTGACCGCGGAGGGTTCCGGCAAGAGAGGGCGTCCGAGCCAGGCTGGGGGAGCCTGGAATTGCTGCCCACCCTCTTGCCTGGGGCCTTCCACACACCTAGAGTGACAGTGACACGGGGCACCAGCCAGCTGTCAGGGTGCACCGTCATGGCCCCGACCACCTGACCACTGAGGAACCCCAGGCACAGAGCCGTCCTGGCAGCACAGGTGGTCTGGCCCCGCCCGGTCCCCAGCTCTGCGTGTCTGGGGTCCGACTCAAAGCAGCCCCAGCCCTGCCCTCTGGGTGAAACTGACCCCGGCCCAGCAGCCACCCCGGCCAGCCACCGGGACCCCTGACAATCTGGTCCCCGTCACCACCAGGCAGCAGGACAGCTGGCCGGCCACCGCCCCAGGGAGACAGAAATTCTACGTCCAGGTCGACAGAGCAGCTGACGTCCCCACAGGCCTTTCAGATGTGGACGTGGCCAGTCCCGGGCCTGAGCCGCCACCCCCACCGCCAGGATCCCGTGTGGCCCTCGCAGGGCCTGTGTCCCCAAACTCCTTCCTGCCAGGGCGGCTCACGGGTGACATTTCTCCCGAGGGCCTGGAGAGAGACAGGTACGGCCCACGGCCCAGGCCCCTCTCCTCGGGCCACGGGTGCCACAGTCAGTCTCGGGGGAGACGGTGTCAGCCTCCTGAGCCCGCTGTGACAAATGACCCCGACCAGGTGACCTGACAGCAGAAATCCTCTCCACGCAGCCCGGGCGGCAGGTCCCAAACCGAGGCG